TGGCGCCACAGGGCTCCCTCGGGCACGTGCCCCGGCTCGCGGCTGCGGTTCCCCAGAGTCACGTGGCTACGGCCACCAGGGCCCACGAAGCTTGCGCGCCACCTGGCGGCCGCGTGACCTGGACTCGCTCCCCGACCCCTCTACCTGACAGCCCGCAGGAGGAGGAAGCAGCAGCCTCAGCATCCTCCTCCGGGAAATGGGGCCAGGGCAGCCGCCCCGCCGCTGCCAACTCCCCTCCCCTCCGCGGCTTCCTGTTCCAGGAACACGCTGAGCCCGTTCTACCTCGGGGCTTTGGCACTGGCTGTTCCTTCGGCCTGGGATTTGCCTCCCCCGGCTTTCTTCAGGGAAGGAACCTCTTTGTCATTCTAGTTTATGCTCAGATGCCACCTCAGAGAGGCCCTCTCTGACCACCGACCCAAACTGCATTCCCAGAAACTAATTTCCGCATGGTGCTTGTCACAGCTGTAGATGCCATTCTTAGGGGTTTACTGATCATCTCCCCAACTGGTCCATGAGCTCACTGAGGGTGGGAATGAGTTTTCTATGAAGGATTAGGAGAGGACGTTAGGATCCTGAGTCCTGGGAGATGTTCAGTAGCCTCCAAGGCCCCCAGCGTTCCACACCTGACCCTGTAAGAGGGCGGAGTGTTTAGAGTTGCCAGGCCCAGGGGGCCCGAGGCAGTGCGGAGGTTAACAGGAAAGGCCGCTGTTCGCGTGTTGGGGCATCAGCCCCTGATCCCTTCTTGCTCAGGGAGGGACCAGCTTGAAGGCAGAGAGGGGCCCACCCTCCCCCAATCATCCAGGCCTAGGGGAAGGGCATCTCCTTTCTCACTCTTTAATCTCACTCTGCTCTCTTAACACAGTTCCAGCAGTGCAGCCCTCTGCGCCAGCTCCAGAAATCGGTGGGGTGGAGGGGCCCAGCCCAGGGGGCCCAGCCCTAGGGCGGGGCAGGGGCGCCTCCTTCCGGCCCGCGGTCCAGGCGGCCCCCGCGGCTGTCCCGG